GCACAGGTCAAAAATATCGACCCGCCAACCTGCGCGCGCTTCACCCGCCCGCCCGCAATGAAAGCCTCGTTTTTTTTTTTGGGGGGGGGGTCCGCCTTAGTTAGAGGAAACCAAGGGGCAGCGGGGACGATTTTCTTTCCAGGGGAGCCACCAAAAGCCCAAACAAGAACAATGGCAAAAAAGGGAATGGGAAAGCAATCAGCCCTCGAGTTGCACAACCCACGGTTTTGGCAATCCTTGGTCATGCGAATTGCATGATGCCCCAGCTTGTTGTCAAAACCAAGTTGCACATTGCTTCTCGGCTGCTCGGGCCGTGCTTTTGGCACACATCTATGTGAGGACGGCCTTCATTTGGGCGGGCCTGCGCCTCGGATCTCGCCACTCTTGCGGCTTTCCGAGTCGATGCATCTCCTGAGGCCTCAAACGGAGGACAAGAAGAAGGCCGTCAGATTGCGTTTTTGAAGGGGTTCAAGGGTTTGGGGATGGCCCCCTAAAGAGAATCCCAATTCGGGTCCATTCCCATGCCACTTGAGATCTCTGGGGCTGGGTGTCATGGACCCCTAGAAGATGTAGACAAATGTCAAGACTCCTCAGGGAGCCAGGCCCATGGCCACATGATGGGGTTGGTGGATGGGAAGCCTCCCAACAAAGGAAACACCATGTTATGGAGGTCCAGTCTTCGAGACACACGCGCACACACACGCACACACACACACACACACACACACACACACACACACACCCCCACACCCACACCCACACCCACACCCACACCCACACCCACACCCACACCCACACCCACACCCACACACACACACACACACACACACACACACACACACACACACACACACACACACACACACACACACACACACACACACACACACACACACACACACACACACACACACACACACACACACACACACACACACACACACACACACACACACACACACACACGCGCACACACACACACACACATGTCTCCCCCTTGGCTGGTCAAATCTTCACCTGGGTTGCCTGTTTCGTGAGTTTCCGTTGTGATGTGGGGTGATCTTAGGCTGGAAGCATTAAAACACAGCACACCCTGTTTGAACCACTGTTGCAGACGACATGCATGGGCCTTACACATATGTAGAGTTCTCCTTTGTTGTTGTACGCTTGTTGGGCCAAGAAAAGATGAGTTTCTCTTTGGGCCGATGTTTTGGGGACGACCAAGTCACCTAAAGCAAAATCGCAAGTTGGTTTGGGCCCGTGGAAATCAAGAAAAACGATCAATCACCGGGCCTGTCTGGGTGCAGGCGTGCCAGTGCTAGCGGAACGCTCAGTGGTGGCCTCATGGGAGATGGTTATCTTAATGGGCATGTCTTTTTGAGGGAACGTTTTGTTTCTGGTCCCTTGGGCAACCGAGTCATGGCAACACATTTCTGAGAGCCGGGATGCCTGGACAAACTCCCTTCCACACAGCCTTTGCTTCTCCCCATGTTCCAGGTCCGCAGTGCCATCCAAACATGAATGAATGGGATTGGTTTGGGACCAGCGTGCGGTCCTTTCACACGATCGACGTCGCAAGGCACTATGGGCATGGGTCCCAGCAATTCGTCTTCCAGGCAGGACTCAACATGCCGCGCAGACAGAAGGAACCGCCAGCATCATTCCTCCTCGGCCACCCAGCAACCTTTAGCCCATCAACCCGCCGTAAACCAGGCCTCAGTTCGCCCAAACCAAGCCTTGGGAGCAACCTTCGAGTTGGATGGTGCAGGTCACGGATCTTGCTTGGAGACCGTGAGGCTCCCTGACGTTGGGATTTGGCAAGGCACAAAGCCATTGCAATTGCAAGCCGCGCGCATTTGCAGGATGTCGCCATGGTACATGACCCTGCCGCTACGCTTTTTAAGAAGCACCCCTTCGGAAATATACTCATCCACATGGCTAATGTTAGCATATGCCTACGCCATGGACTGTAGTTCAGTGTGGTTTGTTTGATCTTGTCCGCCTTTTCACACCACGCTAGCTTGCGCCGAAATCAAATGCGCCCCGTTGTGCCGAATTCAACTGCCCAAGTACAGAGGCGCGCATGCAAAAGGCCTTTGCCCGTGACAAGAGCGTGTACCCCCCCGCCCATGAAGGCTCCTTTCAACCAGCATTGTCCTGCGGTGGCGCCCATAAAGGCTGTGGCACTCCTTTCCTCGTTGAGGGTCGGGCTGCGGCCAGTTGCCAGAACCATGCCCAACAGCGACACCCAATGGCTGTTCCAAACCACCGATTGTTTTGGTTGCCTGACACTGTCCCCAACAGCCCTCCAATTGATTGCAGGACTCCGGACCTTCAGCCTTGCCTGGAGCAGGGAAGTTCCCGACCCCTGCGTCCAAACTCATTTTCTCATCGATTGACTTCATGGCAATCCCTGCTTCAACTGCTCATGTGCCTTTCTCATCCGATGAATTATGTTTGGCTTGGGCTTTTGAGCCAGGGCAGGGAAGCACATCAAGGTTCTTTGGAAAACACTGAAACGGGGAGGGGGGGTTCTCAAAGTGCTGGACCCCCTTTCGGTGTTACTTGGGAAACCAATTTCTGGGGACTTCTTTTTTGTTGGCAAGTGCCTGAGTTGCGCGCGCAGCTGCCGGCAATCGGATGCGCAACTGGCTGCGGCTCAAGAGCACCGTTGAAGCAAACCAGGTTACAGATGAGACAGACGCTAGATGGACACTTGAAGCAGACGAGATACACACAAAGCTAGGTGAGAGACACGTGAGAAACATGGATTTGGTCGCACTCGAGCTCCTTCCAAGGAAGGCTCAACTGAAAGAGCGCTGAGAGCCATAAGGGACTGCCAACCGACTCTCTCGTGCAATGGCGGGGTCTGGGAGCCGTTGCTGGCCCAAGAAGCCGCCCCGCGGCGGCAGAGGAGAATTCTTCGGCAGAGAGGTTTGCTCGCATTGCTTGCATTGCTTGCTTTGCTCGCTCACTGGCTGGCTGGTTGCTTGGTTGGCTTTCTGATTGCTTGCTTGTTGGTTGGTGTTTGGGCTGCTATGTGTTCCTTTTGCTTGAGATCGATGTCTCATCCCTGTTTGGAGTCCAACCGGTTTCTGGGCTTTAGCTTTGTGGGAAGCCTGAATTTGCGAAAGCCACGATTCACAGAAGCCTCATTGGACCCCTCATCACAGCAGTGTGTTTGTGTACTTTTTGTTTGTTTGTGTGTGTGTGCGTGCGTGCGTGCGGGTGGGTGGGTGGGAGCGCGTGCTTGTGTGTGAGTGTGTGCTTGTGTGTGTGTGTGTTTTTTGGTGTTTTTTCTTGTTCAAACATGTAATTTGGAAATCCTTTCCTAAGTTGCAAGCCCAGAGGGTATTGGTTCAGGGAAGCATTGGTTGGAGGCCAGGAGGTGCTGTTGATTCGGGTGATTTCGGGTGAGGTCCCCACGTGTCATTGTTCCTTGGGTTTCTCTGATGGGGAAATTCTAATTTCATGGGTTTCCTTTTAAACCAGCCCGAGAAAGGGCGGTGTCTCCACATTTTATATAGTGGTTCACGCTTTGGTAAGTTCAAAAACAAGTTCCTCTAGGCGTCTAGGCGGGGAAATATTTAAAGGGGAAACATGTGAAGCTTCAAGCTGCGATTTATCAAGATGTAACCGCCCAATCCTGCCTATATCTTCAAACAGCGCAGCCGTATCCTCAGGTACAACTTGGTTACAAGAAATCTGAGTATGTTTGGCTTTGCAGGGGCGTCTATGAATGCACAAAGCCAACAAGTCGCACTCCTTGGGTAATATGCCAAGGGCGCGGCAGAAGAGCTTCCACAGCCTGGTGGGTGTCAGGGCCTTTGTTCACCAAGCTGAATCGGAAATGCGCGGAGATGAGTCCCCCGGGCGCGGACTCTTTTCACCTGGGTTCACCAGACACGCGTTGTTTATGGGAGGTTTGCGATGACGTTTTCGCGCTGCAAAGCGAACGGGTCACTTTCGACCTTTCTGATACATTTTTCGATTATATCTTTGGAACCACAAACTTCCTTATTTTCTCATGTCGAGAGAGCTAACTTGTTTTGTTGTCTTTACCAAAATTGGGAAACCGCCCCACTTTTGCGGGTGTTGAGCTTGGTTTGGTTGAACGTACCCAATCACGTTGCCATGGACCTCCCGACCTGCCGACCTCCCTCTGAAGGCCTTTCAAGGTCCTGCACAAAGTCGAATGACCCCAAGGAAGCTTCACACAGCACTTTCAAGCCGTGTAGGGGGAGTCCATTGACAAGGGCCCATGCGAAATGTCGCGCATGGATGTAGTTTCAGATCAGTTGGAAATCGATGGATTTCTTGGTTTCACTTGCTTCTTTACATTTGCCTGTGACATCCATCATTGGTTTGTTAAAATAATATCTCGGATCCCATAAAGCAGGCATGGAGAGTCTCCTGGTTTTCCCAGGCCCTTCCTGCTCAATACCCAGCTGTCGGAGTTGCGCTGCTCTGAATGTACACGTGCCCAAAAAAATATCTCCATATCGACAACAGGGATGTTCAGCTCTCAGCGGCAAGAAAGTAGTGATGCATAGTCGTGAGGACGGGTATCCCACCGAGTCTCACCACAAAAAACGTTGTGCAACCGGTTGGCGAATAGTTTTTTTTGTTCGGCCTTGAGTTCGAGCCAGTTTGCTTGCACCCGTTTATCCCAGACTCAGATTCTGGCAGCGGCCATTCGGGTGGAGGAATCCGATTCCTGGCTGGACTGGTTCCACAACAAAACGCTTAGGCAATGCCTCTCAAAGGAATACTTTGGCCATTCTCCATGAGTTCAGCCAAACGAAATGCTCCACTTCTTGAAAAAGCCCTTCCATTTTTGTAAACAGCCCCTTTTTCGCTGCACTCCCCTTCAAAAGCCGCGGCAGCCTTGGATCCCCGTTTTCAGACGAGTGTGGAGCATGTGAAGAAGTCCTTTCATTTCTGAGGCCTTAGAACAAGTTTATTGCAAACTCCCAAAGAACGTGGTTGCCCAATCGACCATGGATGTCCACCATACATCCCCCCAATTTCACAACAACCTCACCACCCTTCGCGACCTGCGCCCATCCAGGCGCCCTTGTGGCACCTCTGATTTTTGCGCGGGCTCATTTATCGCTGGCGAGGCACACCTGGAGCGATCCCTGTCGAAGGTGTGGGTGCCCTCGGAACGGCCGAGAGGATGGCGAAAGAGTTGGTTTGGGGCAGAGTTTTGAATTGCGCGGTTGATCTTGTTTGCCAGTTTGCTGCCTTGCCAGGTTTGCGTGTTTGTGTGTATGTGTGTATGTGTTTGTTTGTTTCTTTGTTTCTTTGTTTCTTTGTTTGCTCTAGTGTTTGCATGCTTCTTGTTTTGGGCTTCTTCGTGTTCTTGGTTTAGTTGGTTGGTATTTTTCGTGGTGAGGTCGGGCGGCTCTAACCCAGGCCGGGCTTGCTGGATCCGGCGGCCGCCCCTTGCGATGCCCGGGCCCCGATTTGCGATGCCTTTGGAGAAGCGATGCCCCAGGTGAGGGGCATCTTCTTGGTTTCTGGGGTTGTTCTTTCTTCTTGGCCCTTTTTGGGTGGTGCTCATGGGCCACCAAGAAGAACTCGGTGTCAAAATGCACCCATGTGGGTTGTGCAAGGTCATTCCTGAATCCTTAGCCCTGGCCGTGTTGTTCCACTACTCGCTTACGGACGAGGATTGGGGATCCCTCATTCTGAACAACCCTGTCTATTTCTTTGGGTGGGATTTCCTTCAACTTCGCCCTTGCTCCTTGGGTGGTGTCCACTTCAAATTCCCCCCGTTCTGAGTGGTTGTCCCTTTCAAGTCAATGACAAAAAAAGAAGGGGAGGTCCATGGCATTTGTTCTTGCTATGATTTCGGATCCTAAATTTGATCCAAAAGTTGGGCTAAGCCAAGCTGAATCTACTGGTGTTCCCGTCAAATTCAGCCCACAAGAAAAGGGTGTCCATTTGAATCCCTTCGCAGCTGTTAAAGCGAGCGAACGCGCATGCCCAAAAGAGTTGCAGAGGGTTGATGACCTATGTTTGCAACCTCCAAAACCCCCCAAAAAAAAAGAAAGCTAGCCTTTTGATCGCAGACTCCCTGGATCAGCACATTTAGCTTGTGGTGATGCTTTTGCTCAGCAAAAACAATGGCCTTGCTTTCACGAGCCGATAGCAGAGGTGCTGTCCGTGTCAGTGGCCTTGCAGCGCGTCATCGATGAGGACTGAAACCGGCCTCACACAAATGGGGCACTCTCAACTTACAGAAGCCAAGGAGTCCAAGGAACTCAACAACATTCGCCATACCTGTCCGGGTGAACAATAAATTTTGCCCGCTCACATGAATGGGTATGTGTTCTTGGGGGAACTCAATGTTTGGGGCGGTTCCAAAAACGGAAACCAAAGGACCACCGCAAGTATTTATCCCCAATCTTGACACACACCCGGCATGTGAGAGGACTCCTTCCTTCTCAAATCGAACTTCCGGGTGGGGCTTTATGGGGGATGGTCCGATGGTCGCAAGGACAACCGTCGAGTCGAACCTTGCAATCCCTGTGTGGGGTATTTTCGAGGTGCGGGATTTTCACAGACGGGTGTTGTTTCGCTGTTCGCGCGCCCGGTGCCCAGGAGCCGTCGATGCTCTTCCGACATCACTCGTCCCCGGCTGGGGGCCCAAGAGGGTCGACGCGGCCCGCGGCATTCCGCGGCATTCCCCGGTTCCCATAGGAGAGACACGAGGGACACGGAATATCCCGGAAGTCAGCCATTTCCTAATTCCAGGTCTCAGTCATGAACCTCTGGAGTAGGTACCCCTGATATATGCGCTTCATAGACCCACTGTGCGTGGAGGCATTAAGATATGGCGCGTGTGTGTGTGTGTGTGTGTGTGCTGTGCTTTCTACACAGTTCTACATTGAAAGATCTACATTGAAACGTTGAAAGATATCAGAAGTACTACCAACTCTCATTTAATGATTTAAAGCCATGGCAGTGTGAGCCACAGCAACCGCAACTGACTTGTTCGGGCCATTCAGGACCATCAACCGTTCCGCTTATGGCTCTTGAATCAGAACTGGATAGGCTTTTCCCACGAATATCCTTTTCCCAGAACCCTGGATCCCCAATACTACTTTCAGATTCAGATTCACCAATTCTAAACCCAATACTAAACTTGCCGATTTCGCGCCAATCTCGGCACCAGTCTTATTTCGGGGTGTTTCAGTGCATGTTCTAAGACATATTTACCTTAGTTTTATTTATTGAACAGTAATTCTAAATTCAATTTGCGCGTTGAAGTCACGGACCCACAGAACAAACGTGAACGGTTTTATTCAAACTCGTTACTCGGGAGCTTGCCTTTTTGGACGGTTTTCGGGTCCGGAAAGGGGGGGATCCCATTTGGACGGCCGAAAGGGACATCCGGTCGAGCCTGATTGCCCTAGTTGATAAATACCGTTTGGGCCTCAGCAAACATGTACTATTTGGGAGGGGCGCCGAGTTTACCAGATTCCTCCGAGCAAGTGGTTGAGATCCTATATGCTCGCACCCTGAGATGGTTGCCGCCACCCCCAACCACCACCCGTCAGGGACAATTGTGTTATACACCTTACCTCTTAAAAGCACAACTTTTCAACTTTTTGGGGGTAACATGGGCTATATGTCTGTAAAAGATTAACTTCCCCAGGGCTTGGAGTTTTAAGGGGTAAGACACCCTTTAGATAGTGGTGCCGAGGTCTTGCAAAGCATCCATCAGATGCCTCAACGAAATCAGGAGCCATCTCGAGTTCCGAGGCTGAGCTGGCAACCCTGCAGGCCGATCCGATTGGCTCGGGGGTTGCTTGTTTGGGGGGGGGGCTCAGGGTGTTGGTTTCAAGGGAATCAAAAGGACACCAACCACAAATGGGGGTCATCCTATTTCGACACAGACCCATGCGATTAATTGATTGGTCCTTCCCGTTGAGCATAAGCCAACTCGCAGCATTGACTTGCAGCCTCGAATGGACTGCAAAAGGGGGACTGCCCTGCAAGTTTGACGGTTCAAGCGGCAAGGTGTTGCATTAACGGCTAGAGGGAAGACGAGCGATTCCACATTAAGGTTGCTGGCGTTGGGAGTTGAAGAAACTACTGACTTTGTGTAGTTCCTGGGGCTAAACACCACAAGTTGGTTTTCCCCCTCAAGGAAGCAGCCAGGACATGGATTGTTGCTGACCGGCTGATTTGTTCCAGACCCCAACAGCGCACTGTTCTTTGCGTCCTCAGGAGTGGGCAAAGGCCGATGCACGCACTTCAGCTGTTGCAGCGCAGGCAGGGGTCCGAACCCGCGACGCATGGACCCAATGGAACCCTGCAACCAGCCTCCCGCCTTCCCACGTGCAAACTGAGGACTTTCCCTTTCAACATTTTGTCAGGTAGCACGGAGGGCAGCCACCTTTGGCCTCTTTCATGATTTCTGCCATCAACCGTGAGCCATGAGGGGAGTGACCTTGGCTTGATTTGTTGGCATTGTGAATTGAAAGGCTCTCCAATTCGTTCAGTCAGGAAGTTCGACTGTGACACCATGTTGACCTTACACAGAAACCGGGGCCCGCTTGTTGGACTGGAGGTCAGGAAGCAAGTTTGGGCTTACAAAACACCTCAGTGAAAGAAGCGTGCGGGGCCCCTCTTCGAAGTCGGCGCTTGCACTTGCCCGCGCCCGGGCGCTCGAAGGCGTGGCTGGTGTTTTTCTTCGTGGTGCTGGACGCCTCGAAGAGCCGGGCGCCCGACTTTGAACGGAACCCGTCAAGAACGAGTAGTGGGGGCCCTCCGAGAAAGTGAGCCCCGACAAGGGGATATCCGGGGGGGGAGGGGCTACTAATCCCGGGTTCCTTGTACTACGGAGGGCCATGCTAATCAGGTTAGTGAAGAATCATATCGTTTCAGGCGGATTCCCATTTTATTGATTCGGATGCGCTGTTTGTGGGGGCTCCCCTTTTGGTCAGGCGCCTACTGCCTGAAGTTCCCAAGGCCGTGAGGCCCGAAGTCCGCGGCTTCGCGATTCGGTTCGGCAGTCTGAGGTCTTGCTGTGAGCCACGCCGCCAAGAGCGGCAGGGGCCCCGCGATTGGAACGCATGCCTGGCCCACCTTGGGAAGAAGCTTTGTTGGCTTAAGCATGTTTAACTGAGGGGTTGGCAAAGTTGGTCCCCTGCTTGAACCTCGCAAATGAGTTCACGAGCTCACTATGGAGTGCAGCGAGCTCCATGAAGGGCCTGGACATTCCTGGACAATGAAACCCTGAGACCGGCCATGCATGTTCATACCTGTTGTACATGACGATTGACCGCCTTGGTCAAGCGATATACATCCATCAGCAGGCGGCACAGTATCTTCATGCTGCCGCCCATCCGCAAAACCAATGAAAAAACAGGGTTTGCAACAGGAAGAAGCAAAGGTCTGGAAAGTGCGGCAGCCCCCCTTGGTGACATGTCAATCTCCAGGGTGTCGCAGAGGTTCGAAAACTTGCACCGCGGTGGGGTCAAGCCCTGCATGGGCCCTTGAAGCTTCTTGGTGGTTTTTTTTCCCACAACCAACCCTCTGATACTATGTGCGTTTGCAGTCAAGAGGCCTTAGTCGCAAAAGCTCTTTCCGATTGGGGACACGCACCTGGTTGGGGCTTTCGACCAGTTTCTTTCTTGGTGAAACAAGTCGGTGGACAACAAATCCTTTGCACCCAGGCCAGATGTGTGCGCCTCTGGTCATTGCCGCGAAGAACGCCTTGTCCATTGGCCCGAGTCCCCGAGTCCCCGGGGCCTGGGATTCGCTGCCAGGGGTTCCATGTTCTGATTGCCCCCCCCCCAAAAAAAAAGACTTCATCCCAGGGACGCGTATGCATAATGTGCATATGCCCACTAGGTTTGCCTGCGTGTGCGTAAGTCACGAGTGAGCATGTGTACGTCGTCATTCTGCCGGTCTGTGCCTGCAAGCACATTGATAAGGCCTTTAAGATGCTTAGTTGCCATGATATGTTGCGCAACCTTTTGCCCAAGAGGGTTTCAGCTATTCCCAAGCCACTAACCCCATAAAGCATGCTCCCATAAGTACCTTACAAAAAGCTTCATCGTATTGCCTTCCTTTCCTGGGGTTGTGTTTGGGTCGTGGGATCAAACATGATCAAACAAACTGAGTTGTGGTGTTTACGCCTTAGCATCCCCAGGTGTCACTTATGAAAACGGCATCTCCCTCCAAACAGCTCCAGGGCTCCAGATCACTCGCAGGCTTCGGCCTGGCGCTGGCGCTGGGCCGGGACGGGTCCTTCGGGCTGCGCCAGTGCCTGGACCTCCGGCGCGCCATGAAGGCATCGCGTCCGGCGATCGCACTCCATTTTTTTTGCTGAAACCATCCCGAACATGTACAAAAGGTGATGTTTACGTAAGCTCGCCTCGAAGATCTTTGGCAGGGGCAGGCGTTTTCGTGATCCTTGGTTTAGTGGCTGGCCCTGGCTGCCAGTGTTTTATCCGTGTACGCGACTTCATTGGGTTTTCGAAATGGCACGAAGTAATTGAAGTAGGGAGTGAAAGGAATGAGCTGGAAGCGCCTGGCCCGGGCCGCATCGCTTCGCTAGCTCCAAAAGGGAGGCTAGGAGTACTAGGAACATGGAATCCCAAAACCTCAAGGCGTTTCCGCAACGAAACTGGGTTCCATTTGGGTAGTAGGAGAGAATTGTTTGGCGCCAGGCAACTATCAACCTAAAGCCGGCCAGAAGGCATGTGGATGGGTCTCTCCCCTGCCCGCGTCTTGTTGGAGTTGGAAGTGAATTCAGCTTCGGAGCTCTAGGGCTTTCGCAGGGGACACCACCCATACCCAACTCGCTCGCCCTCGCCTTTGCTTTTCGCCTCAAGTTGTCTCATAGGATTCTCTCGTCAGCCTGTCAGCCTTACGGCGGAAAGGCGCCGAACGCCTTTCGCGCGCCGCTCGCTGAACGGGCGTGAAGGGCGTGAAGGGCTTTCGCTGAAGCGAAGCGGATCTGCATCATGGAGTCGGCCCTGCGGAGTATGTGGCTGGGTCCGAAATAGCAACCACAGTTTCAGTTGTCCAAAACGGATTGGATGACCAACCCCCGCGTCTGACCCTCTGGGAAAATTGGGGCAACAAGTAAGATATCACCACAAAAGGGAGATGTTGACTGTTTCCACTTTTTAACCCTGGTTTCCCTTCAAGAGCCAAAAGGAAGGCCAGCATTTGCCCAGGTTGCACTCCACCTTCGGGGAGTTTGTGGAAGGTTTGGACCGGGCCGACGCCAGCAGCTTCCCCTTGACGCTGAAGGAAGGGATCTGTTCCAATTTCAAGGCCTCGATCTGAGTGGATCCAGTTACCTTGATTCGGGTCAATCTGCTGAGTGGATCCATTTACCTTGAGTGCTTTGGGTTGGGGGGATTTCTTCACCCGTTGGGTCCTTCGAGTGTCTGCCGCTGGCTCCCTTCCACTTTCCTTCAATGCATCTTGTTTATGCCTGGGTTTAAGCTGAAATATGTTCTCAATTTGTCAGAGTTAAGCAAATGGATACATTAATTGGGCATGTTCCCCTGAATAGCCAATTGACCCCTAAGGAGACTGGCCTTAAGACGAAGCCCTTAGCAAGCCTTGTTTTACAAGTGAGTGTGTCTTTTCCAAGGGACTTGAGGTTTTCCAAAAAAAGGGTACCCTTAAACAAAGACACTCCCACTTTTTAAGGGGTTACTTGCTTATTTTTGATACTTGTGGGTTGTCTTCTGTGTCCATCATGGTGTCGGTTTGAAACTTTCGCCAAGTATAACATGGTTAACTGTTTGGTTTCCTGTTGGCTTCTTTAGAAATACCGTAGGTTTCCTTTTGTTTGAGTTATTCCACAGGCTTTGAGGATTTTCTGACACCATGATTGATGCCTCGTTTTGAGGATGTCACTCTCTCATGGGCCCTTTGGTTCTTCTTGTATCGTTTTAGGTTTTGGCTCGGCCGCAGTGCACCACTCGCCGGTTGGAGACTGAGCCAGTCAGACACCAGCCATAGGACCTGAAGCTGAAGGAGAAGAGGATCCAGGAGGAGTTGGACGAGGAGTCGACTCCGCGCGAGTCGAATCGGATCGGATCGGATTGCGAATATGCGTCGCTAAGAGGGCCATGGGTTCGTCGGCTCAAAAGTAGCTGGGTCATGTCAAAGGGGGTCATGGGGTTGCATTCTGCAACTCATCGTGCATCCTAGTAGGAGGGCGAGGGCGATATGAACCTGGTAAGTTCCGGCAACCTGCGGTATGTCTTGTAACTGCCACAGGTTGGGTTCGCAAGCCAGTACCTTGATTCTAGACAACAGGATGTCCAAATCCCAGCTGATGCCACATTCAAGTTGCAGAGGCCGATGGAGAGCCTTGATGAACCTTGCAAGAGGCCGAGGTTACCCTTCGGAACTGCAGAAGAAGCCAAAAGGAACTGTCATGCATGAAATCACGATTCTGGGCCCAATCTTTACCCATCTGGTTCAACACCTAAGTTTTACACTTTCAAGCCGTTTATTGGCTTCATTCTGCGCAATGGCTGGGATCAACCTCACCACCATCACCATACCACCAGAACAGAAGCAGCAACAGCAACAGCAAACAACAACCGCAACAACAGGAGCAGCAGCAGCAGCAGCAGCAGCAGCAGCAGCAGCAGCAGCAGCAGCAGCAGCGACAAAGACAACGACAATGACAATGACAATGACAATGACCACAGAGACGACGACGACAACACTCGCAGGACCAACAAATCGCAAGCTGCCAACTACTATTCTAAAGGCAGCGGCATTTGTTGTTGACAGCTGTTACCTTGTTTTTGCTAGGACGGGGGATTTCCCTTCGACCTCACCAACGGGCGCATCGGCAACATCACGGTGTCGCCCGGGTGGATGGGCACCGTGGAGGTGGTAGCCACTAACGTGGTGCTGAACTTCTCCTTCAGCGCAATGAAGGCCATGAACAAGGCCATGCGCAAGGAGCGCCCAAGCAAGGGCACATGATTAAGGTAGCCCATCCTAAAACCCACTGAGCCATGCCATACCCCAGCCACCTTACGTCCTCTGCAACGAGAGCATCCCGTATAGTTTCACATGGGATCCATTGGTGCATTCCAAAAACTCCAGCGAATTCCACTCTATCTTCCTTTCTTTCAGGGTCCATCTGCAATCTTGTGATCATGACTTTGTTTTGTTTTTGCACACCCAACCCCATTCGACGTTATTCAGGCCCTTGTGTACTTGTCCTACAGTTGGCAAGGGCCCCTCAATAGGAGCCCATGGGGGCTGACAGCAACTAGCAAGGCCTACCCAGCTTCTTTTTAGCAACTGACAAGCTTTGTAAAACGGGAGTTCAACCCCTAGGCACCAGTCAGAAGCAAGCTGGGTTTGTCTCACGAAAAGGATTGACTTCCTTTGGGTTTTTAAATCATACCTACAAAAAAAGGACATACCCAGCTGAAGGGGAAAACGGGCAAGTTGAGGACAGCGAGGACGAGGAGGAGTTTGAGGGCGTGCCGTCACAGGCGCCGATGCCTCACCCTGGGGTGCCTCTACCGGCCGATGTTCCGCCCAGGCAGGGGCTGAGAGGGAGGTGAGAGGGGCTGGGTGCATCAATGTTTGTTGCTTTCTCAGAAAGATTGGTGTGCCTTAGCATTCCTCGCAGCATTTGAATCCTATACATGTTAAGAGGCTGTCAATCTTAGTTTATCATGAATCTTTAATTTTCATGTGTGTGATGATTAGCTAAACAAATACGAAGTCTACAACAGTCGTGAGCCTCACCTCCCGCTTAGCCTTGAAGGCATATCATATCAGTTAATTCAATGTCAATTGCTAGCGGACGGGGAAAATCAAGTTCTTATTACTGATTCGGGCATTCTTGAACGGGCTTGATTGATTGAAAATCTAGTTATCAAAGAGGAATTCTACAGGGGTGTCTTTTTTGAGTTGGTTCAGTTTGCTTTGGTGGCTTGAAAGTGGAACCAAGGGGGAGTCACCCAGTTTGCCGTCCTGTACAGAGGCTAGAAGGGTTCAAAAATAGCTCCATGGCGAATTGTGAAGGGAATGGTTCGCTGTTCCTGGGTGTCCAAACAATCTCCAAGTATGTAACAAACAGAGCGCAGGTTTTGCCAGAACCACTTCACCTCCGCGCAGCGGGAGAAGATCGACCCTTTGATGCGGCCCTGCCAGAAGTGCAACGCTCAGATCACCTCCACCTACGCTGAGATGACGCTTTGCCCCCCCTGCTCCAACACCGAGGCGGGTTCGTAGGATTCGCCTGAAACTGGCCGGAAAGCGTGAACCCGGCAGAACACTGGCGCATATCCGAAAGCTCCACCTACCAGCCCCCCAAACACCACCACCCCCAAACAAACCAATACCGGTGTGTTGTGCTTGGGGGTGGGCGTGTTTGGGGGGAGGGGGACGAATCCCAAAACTGGCGAGGTAAAAGAAGCAACTGGTCGACTGTTGGTAACTAGGAAACGATACACTGGACGATAGTTGGGATTTTTGGGGTTTGGGCGTCGGAGAAGATGGGTCCAACTGATTTTTTGAGACAAGCAAAAATGGAGTTTCAATGGGTTCCTCATTTCAAGCTGTAAGGCAGGATGACCTCGTATTCATGGTCAAAACCAACTTCAACTTGGATGATTAGATTGGAGGTGCCGTTTCCCGTGTGTCTCAAGCCTTTCGGCCTGTGACAAAGTCATGGGAATCCCGCACCCGCACCCTGTTCCTGTTGCAATCCAACCGTCAACCCAGACTGACGCGCAAAGAATTCCAACCCTTGCCCCAACCTCGCTGGGTTCCCCCAGAATCGACCCTGCAAAGCCCGCATTTCGGGAGTTCCAGGGCGGATGTTCAGGGGAATGTTTCAGGAGAGTTGCATGATCTGCGGGGACCACGCTCCGGTGGCGAGCAACTACGTCCCGCCGAAGACGCTAGGAAACCCCAAGGCGCAGCAGCAGCAGCAGCAGCAGCAGCAGGGCATGGTCTATGCCCTGCCCGAGACCCGGGAGACTCGGCACATGGTTTAGCGGTTTTTGCTTGTGTTCCTTGAAGCACTTCAAAGTGCCGGCCAGACGGTGTTTAACTAGGGTGTATTTTTAGAAGGGGCTGTGGTTGTTCAACTAGGGTTGGTTCAGCCGGGCATGGTCTTTTTTTCGCGAAACTTATTTCCTTTGTGGGCAGCTCTGCCTCTTCTCTCTGCAATCTTTGCTCGGCTCTTCTTCCCAGCTCGCTCTTCTGCGCACTCTTCTCTCCGCCGTTCGCTCCGATCTTTCCTCCGTTTGGCTCCCCTCTCAGAACTGATGCCCTTTGACTGCACTCCGCCGTGTGTTTTGCGCAGTGCCCCTCGGCATCGCTCAGTCGCCCAGACGGGGCAGGGCGGTTTTTCGCGCTCTAGCCGTTGCCTGGCCCCTCGGGTGGGATCAGGCCTCGGTCCCAAAAGCCTCCAAGGCACGGACCCAGAAAGCCGGACCTCTTGGAACCCCAATTCAGGTAACCCTTTGGTGGTGTGGATTGGAAGTGCCTCTTGAAGCAAAATGGGGAAGGTCAAATTACTCATTCGGGGTAATTAAGGTGACCAATCTGGCTGGAGAGCGCAGGCACGAAGTAAATCTATTGGGTTGATGGCTTCAGGATGGTTCAGAGGGCCATCATATTGCTGTAACATTGGAGGCATATCGATCGGGTCCCGCATTTTTGAGCCTAAGTTTGTTGGCATAAGCAGTCGGTGTTGGTGACCTCATGAGTCAAGTAACCTTTTGTGGCTCAAGCATTGTCAAACCAGCCCGGGTGGGTGTGGACCTGGGGAGAGGGGGGTTATTTGGCCGTGGTTTCCACAAACTGGGGAGGTGCCCAATTGTTGAGCCGTGTTGGTCCAAAAGGATGTTGTTTGTGAGTTCCATCGCAACATGGAGACTCGTTTTTCTCCTAAGGGTGGGAAGTTTCTTTGAAAGGTTCACAACCAACTGGAGTTTAGCTATGGTTCATTGTGCTTGATTGTGTGACGTTAGATTCTACAAACTGGGGCTTGGGTAAGTATACCTTATTGGCGTATGTTTTGCGACAATTGGGGGTTGGAGGGAAAGCAAATCGAGCGCCACGGCCCCAGGAGCGGTTGGGCTCCTCTTTGCCACCGCCCCCGCCGGGCGCCGGTGGATATGGCGGGCCCAGCTCCATGTCTCCCAGCAGGCGCTCGCAGAACTTCGATTGGGCGCCTCGACGAATCCACAGCTTTGGCTTGCTCTTTGGATTTCCCCTTAGGAACTTTACCCCCACAGAACATCTCGCCTCCAACAGTGGCGTTTCAATGGAAGGTAAGAGAGTATGGACTCCACTTTGTGGGCCCTAGGCGAGTCTTGCAGGGAACCATGTTTGCCCTCTTAGTCACCCACCAAGAATTTTCGCCTTCAAGTGGCGACTCAGGAGTGGCCCTCCCCAGGCCAGCCGCCCTCGCCGCCGCGGCCACCGTCCCCGCCGCCGCCGCCGCCCTCCAACCGGGCCATGGCCAGCCGGGGCAAAGCCCAGGCACGTGGGCGCACCGCAGAAACCCCCTTCCAAAAATAAAAGCCAGGCTGCCCGACATTTTTTTCGAGTTGTTGGAGAGAAATGGCGATTGGAAAGCTACCAAAAAACGTGATCGACCCTTTTCTGACGGGGGCTCGGACCAACTCAGACACGCTAGGCGGTATAGGGGGCACGGGGGGTGGAGAGGGGGATTATGATCCTTTGCTTGCGAAGGGAGAAGCATAGATCTTGTGCGCCGCGGACAAGCTGCTACATGAGATGATCGTTCATCAAAGCATTTGTTCAACGTTTTGAACTGCTCGCTAATCGAACCGCCCCTTTGGTTTCAACATGTAGGCGGGTAAGAAAGGTGCTTTCCTACACGACAACCGTGGCCACACTAAGTTCCACAGGCACAGGGGACCTTGTAAGGGCACTAGGTCGCCGAGCGATAGTTGACTCTTATCACTAACCCTTGTCACGTGGCAAAGCTTGGGAGTGGATATGAGTGGATGGATTACTCTAAAAATCGGATCCCCTGCATATCAACATGGAACCCCCAAAAGCTCCTGCAATCAACAAGGCTTTCCCGGGTTCCGCTGGGGGGGGGGAGGGGGGGTGGCTGGGCATGCTTTTGGTGCTCCAGGCCTCAGGTTCAGCGCACCCCAAACTGAAGTCTGAAAGCATCGCCCAGGCCCCGCAATCCGTCCCTCCCTCAGCGCCCGGGTCCTTCGGCCACGGCCACGGCGGCCACGGCGGCCACGGCGGCCCCGCGCCCGGTCCTGCGCAAAGACCTGGGGCGATGCGGGCGGGAGCGACCTACAGCACGCCCACCAAGGAGCTCGAGATGTTCGCAGTTCGTTGAGTAAAGGCTACTCTATGACTAAACCATGGGGGAGGTGTGCCCTTCCTTCATTCGTAACTGAGGAGTTTGGGTGCTGATTTGGTCCCTGTTGCAACAAAACCGAACAGAACATTGAACTGCAGGGTTTGCCTTTTGACTCTTTGCGCTCTACGCGAACCGCCATTTTTTCTATACGCTTTCAATGGGCCCTTTACTTTGGCTCGTGGGTCAAAAAGGCAATCCCCTCTCAACCATACTTGGCCCAGTCATTGCCAACATGCTTTTTCAATCGAACACTGGATGAAGCAAATGCGGGAATGTAGAATCGTCACCGCTAAACATGTTGTCAAAAGACCTGCTGAGGCGCACAGTTCTCTTGACATGTTTTTCAATTTTATGTTAATCGCACGTTTTGGTAAGTTCGTTTTTTGCTAAGTGTCACTTGGCAAGTCCTCGTCATGTTGAGTGTATGTTTGGGTCCTCACCTTATTCCTTTTAAACTCCCCGCGGTCGGTCTGTGGGAGCTTCCCTCCAGTGCTTTGCCTCACAAGGACCGAACCAGGGAATCCAACACAACACATCCAAACCAATTGACGGGGCATCCAGATGACCGCCCCATTTAGCCAATGATTACTACTGGTTGACATGATATAAGTCGATTTGCCCTTGAAAGCGGCAGATTCACTTGAGACCGCCAGTGAATTAATCAACAGGGCCGAGGGGAACTCAGTTGTCCAAAAGCGACCTTTTCACCTTTTGGTTTTCCCATTTTGGCCCATGGACATGTAAAAGGTCCCCAAAGGTCATCACCTCTTTCCCAGATCCCTGGACCAAGTGACGGAATTCTCATGAGCCAAAGTCGAGGAGAACCGGCGGCCGGCGGACGGCCCCCGCAGCCCAGCCAACCTGTTGGGCCCGGGGACGGGGAAGGAGGAGGACCTGGGCTGTGCCTGGGTGTCATGTTGATGAACTTTGCAGCTTTGGTTTACAGAAAGCTCAAGTTTGAGATGGGTTGGTACTTGAGGTTACCATACGTGTGGCCTATAGAAGGAAAGTTTGTTTGTGCCGCCTTTTTGACACGGCCCCTTACCTTGACAACCCTCTTGGACGCCAGAAGTGCAAAGTTGGGAACCCAACAACTGGTCTAGCCTCAACTACTGTCCCAGATGCATATCGGTTGCAGTCCCTTCCAACAAGCATAGGTTGGCGCCTTTTCGACCCCCAGTACAAGCTACTATCGTTTGCAAAGAGGGCAGCTGTGCACTTGTTTGATTTTTGTTTTTTCAGACAAACCTATTTTACGCAATTCTATGTAGCGACCCCTTTTTGGATCAATGAGCAATATTTGTCATTCCTTCAAGGAAGCAAACCGTTTTGGAGAGCATCCGAATTTTGAGACATCCATGTCTGGGCCAAAACACATGGAAATACTAAACCAAAGACAAGGAGCAAGGCAAGCTGCAACAAGTTGGACTTCCGGACTGCTTTTTGGTTGGCTTCAGCCCCCCCCTTTTGAGAGCTCATGTTCAGGGAGTTTGGCTTGATCACGTCCCAGCGCCTCACAGGACACCTGGGAGGTGATGAAGACATCGGCGAACAACCGTTGGGGCGAGCTCATGGACTACTTCGGCACCTGGCCCACATTGGACGCTCGCCCGATTGGCGCGTGAGCAACTGGCAACTCACAGCGTGGGTGTTGTCAGAATCATTTTAAATGTCTTGTTTGGGCTTTGTTACATGCTTCCTTGTGGTTTGCAGGTGATCACCTTCCCTTTGTCCCGTGCCCCACCCCAGAGTTAGAGTTAAGTAATAGAGCATTCTCCGCCCTTTCGAATTCTTCCCATTGGACAACGGGTAAGAAACGCAAAACTCCGGTGGTTGTTCGATGACTTGTTGGGTCTGGCTTTTTCAAAGCCAATCGGCCCAGTCGTCTGGGCCCGATCTTTTTTTTCCTCCGCGAGTTCCCAGAGCGGGAGAGAGAGGAAGCCCCAGGAACGAACGTTTGGCCCGATGATGTTGGGGATACGCCTGGTTTTTTGTTGTTGCTTTGGAATCGTGCCTGATTTTTCCAGTTTTGGTCTGCAGTTTTCTCCTGAGTCCAACCGGGTAGTCAGCAGGCATGCCAGCTTTACTTTGCAGAAGAGGCATGCCAGGTTCATGCTCATGACAGGACATGAACCAATGGGCCAGCTGCCTCAACGGTGACCACTCCGATGACATGAAGGAGGTGGGACTGAGCCCAAGGCCTTCGAACCCCAACGCCCGCATGCGGCCAGCAAGGTGAGATCTTGGCCAATCGGATTGAAGCCCGCCGAGTTCTTTGGGGCAGTCCTATTCCCACCCCCATTGTCATGGCTGGCCTTTGGTCCAACCGAAACACATTGGTTTTCCAGGGCTCCACTTTCGTTCCTATGCTCCTTGTTCGCAGAACTCGAAGTCTTTCCCAGTTGTTCAGCAAAACCCCCGAACAACAAGCTTAACCCCGCCCCATGAGGAAATTGAAGCATCTCGGGGCTGAATGGAATCTACGATCACCTTGTTGGAAGAAAATATGGATTTGCCATCTTTTTAGCTGGGCGTCTTGAAGCACAACCAACCATCAAGGCAGAAGCCCAAACGATTGCCAGCTCGTTGGACAAAAGCTGGCCGATTGGTCCGGGTCCTGGGTCGGTCGGCCCATAGTCTAATTTCCTGCAAGGCCAAATTCGTGCAATGAGAACGAATACCCGCGTGAGACGTGCTTGCGGCAGAAAGCAGAGGAAAACGGGCGACGCAGCTGGCCTCGCTGATAGCGTGTCCAAAAATCAAGGAGCTGGCCTTTGAAGAGGCTGTTGTCACGAAACAGGGCGGATTTCTCTTTGAAATGGGGTGGTGTCCCTTTCGCTGGTTCAAGTCTCAAGGGTTCCTTTTCGGTGCCATCAACTAACCACAGGCACCATGCTGGCCTTGCGTTGTGATTTTCTGAAGCTGATTCCTGATTAGATAATCCCCCCAACCAAGCAGTTTGAATCTAGCATATGATTTGCCAATGTGACGGCGAGCTCGCTTGGGCGTAAAGTGAGCTCGCCATGATGATCCCTTACTCAGAATTTTGTTATTTCCGGTTTTGAAATTATTGCACGACTTGCAAATGTTTGGATGGTTCTTTCTTTGAGGAGTCCTTAGTTCAGGTTGGGACATAGTGTCAAGGCTGCACATGTTGCATTTTTGCCCTTGACTCAAAACATGAACAAAGGAGCCATGTCCATAAACATGTGATGCATCCAATGTTTTCAGAGTTGGACCCTGACCAAGTTGGCTGAGTGGCAGAAGGCTTTTTGACCTGTCAGGTCTTCCCCATCGCCGGCTCCTTTGGCCTGGCGCAAATCTTCGCCATGAAGGCGCGTCACTCACCGCGGTAGCCAAGGGAAGGCGAAGTCCCGGGAATGAAGTCATGGAGGTCGGGTTCTCGGCATGCCCGAAGCTTTGGGCTTCATAGAGCCCCCCTCAGAGGGACTTCCCCTTGCCGTTTCTCAAAGCCTCTCCTTTTTGGATTTCCCCAGCCTGGGGCTTTGCACGTGGATCGATTTTTTCCGTTGGCTGCCAAATTGGGCCCAGTATGGGCCGTCGTTTTTTTCTCTCTGTGGACCGGCGAGGCGTTGCGGTTCTACGACCCGGGGAGCCTCAAGGTGATCGCGCAGGCAGTACCCCCCTTCTCTGGGGCTCTCCCTTCTCCATTTAAACGGGGACATCAACAACCAGGTGCCCATGTTGGGTTTTGGGAGAGAGCTCAACTTCAAAGTTATGAACCCCATTCCTGCCATCCCTGCTGACCCAAACGTGGCCTTGCCAAGGCTGGCCTAGCCTCATCAACGCTTACTATGCGGTGTTCTTGTCATGAACAAAACGTCGTGAAACCGCGCAGGTTAATCTTCCTATGACAGCTCTTCTTTCCTGGCTCCTGCTAGATCGCAGCACCCTGGCAGCACACGCCAGACGTGTCACCCGCTGTTCGGCAAAAGCTGGGAGCCCCGCAACAAGGTAAAACCCTTTTTGAAGGGGTCAAAAAGGATTCATCATTTTCCCTGCTTGTCCGAAAAGGTGGTCAGCGCATGGCAAAACTCAAAATCCCCTCAGCCCAGAACTCACTACACTTATTTAGACCACGAGTCCACGATATGAAGACCCCCCCCCCCGCCCCCCCACTCTCCTCCCTCCTGCTTCTTCTCCTCCTCCTCCTCCCTCCGCCTCCTCCTTTTCTTTTGGGATCGGGCGCAGCTGAGGATATTCGATAAAGCAATGGCTGGCGGTGGTCCTCGACTTAGCCTTTAGACCAGGCCCAATGTGAGGGGAAAACCACGGGGAGTCTGTTTAACCAATAGCGACGCAAACAGGTTTTTCCCCTGAGTTTGTTGGACACACCCTGAGGGTGCCCACGCAGGCTTACGAGGTCTCCTTTGATCTTTCAAAGGTGACCAACTTGGCTTGTCCAACTTGAGGAACAATCAATTTGTCCAGCCTTGTGACATCTTGTGACTTGGTTTCGGAGCATTCTTTGGGTCAGATAGTGGCAGATGCGGCCCAGGCCTTGTTGCTGGTCACGACCATGGCTTTCCTCCAGGCAGTTCCTTCGGTCCTCCTCCGCCACGGGATCGGAATTATGTTCCCTTCAACTTGGGGAAATTAGAGGGAACCACGGGATGGAAGTAGAGTGGGACCCCTTCATAGATGTGGACCTCACTGATTAAGTAGGCTGCCCTTAACATGGTGGCACTCTGATGGGTTCTCAGAATTGCTTTTGAAACCTGGTGGTTTCCCTTGACACCCTGCAGGGGCTGATCTTGAGTATGACACTTTGATGGGCCCAGCATGTTTGTTCGGGCTTAAGTAAAACCCGTCGGATCTCTTTTTGTGCAGCTGGTTGCGGTTGCGTGCTTAAGACTTAAGATCTGAGGGGGTTCTGCCTGATCCTTGGTCGCCATTGCTCTCCAGTAAAAGGAGGCACAACTACCTGGAGAGGCAAACTGTTTCAACATCTACGTGGTTCAAGCCTTAATTGCCCCTTATGCCGCCTGCTGTCTAGCACTCTCTGCAGTTCCTTCGCCAGTTAGGCGAGACATTGAGTGCAGCTCTGGTGATTATCAGGAACGTGTGGCTTACCAACCTCGAATTAGTCTTCGAACCCAGTTTTCCAGGTCAGTGATTTTTGCAACTTGATGCGTTGCGAGCCAAATTGTTCGATTCAGGTCCCAATCCTTGTCTCGGCTTACTGAGTAGTAAGCCTCGAAAGCTGCGTCGCAGGTGCGGATGCTTTTCTTCCAGCCGCCTAGCCTGGTCCTTGGACAGTGTGAGGCAGCGGCCAGGTTGGTTTCTGGGGCCCAGGGTTGTGGTAGAAAGGGGAACCCCCCTTCAAAGTGATAAGCTAGCCAGGAAACATCGCAGACTCAGCCGGCAACAAACCTCCACAGCCCAAAGCCAAGCGGCTCTGGTCTGCGCATGTTTACACCACTGGGTGTGTTTTTCGTTGAGGGAACCCTTTTGGTTTCCAGGGTAAAACCAAAGGAAAAGGATCCATTTCAGAAATTTGAGGGGTACGCCTGGCTTTGCGACAAACCCCACGATTGTTTCAACGGCCTTTTGGTTTCCTCGAAAAGGCTTGCGCCCAGGCGCCGTACCCGCTCCGGACCTGGCGGAGCCTGGCAGGAGCCGAGTGGCAAAGACATAAGTTTTGTCTTTTGGTTCGCGGTTTGTTTTGCTGGTTAGGTGGGAACCACCTGGGGTTTTGAAAGAATTCACCGATTGGGATCCCCTCAAAGAAAACCGCCTTGTGAGTGGTTCAATTCAGGGTTCATTTTCCATTCCCTGCCTGGCAAACCAGCAAGTTGTTCTCTTTTCGGCGTCCACAACCACTAGCCTTGACCACTTCACGGGGGAGTCGGTGCTTTGGAAAAAGCAAAGCACCCACCTTGTTGACCTTGCTTCATGGAGGGACGGGCTGATGCCAAACCCAGCCACAGGATGCCAGCCAAAGTTCTGGGCATGTTTTACTTCCAGCCCGGCAGCTCAGAGAGCCGACGGTTTGGATGCGGAATCTGAGCAATGAAGGGTACCAACTGCCACCAAGCATGGCTTGGTGCTCAGTGCCATGTGATTTGATTTATAATTCGGGTGAATTGGGCCACGAGCAACACCCGCGACACCCTCTCCAACCGACGCGAAAAGCCGAGGTTTCGAGTGCTTTGAGTGCGTTGGCATATTTGATCTCAAAACAGCTGGGTGTTTACATCTCAAAAGGGCGTCGCTCTGCTCCCTTTTGAGACCACAACTGGGTTGTGTCTTCCCCTTCCATTTACCCCTCGGCCGTTTGACGCCGCCTTAGGTTGGGCATTTGCCTCTCCTGCGCGGCCGGGGGTCCAACCATTCAAACCTCGGAGCAAGGTTTATGCCATCTCAGCCTCTGTTCATTTTGGCCGCGGGATCGTGGTTCTTCAATGGGGATTGTGGGGTGCGCCATCTTAAACTGTGAAGTCAGTGCCATGTTTCGCGTGCGTTTGGTTGGGATTCGGGTCCCAACAATGGTTTGGCCTACTTCCTGAGTGCCTGGACTCTCATACCATCTCATACCGTTTTGGTGGCCAAGCCCATATGTTGGACCATGACTGATGGCCCTAGTTCCGCACGCAATTGTCGCTTTGTTGGGTTCGTGACCAAGAATGTTTGAGGGACGTTGGGCCCACAAACCCTCAACCACGGAAACAAGACGCGCCTTTTCTTTGCCATGCCTGTTCGAACCGCGATTTGTTGTTTGGACTGCTCGCATGGCAGAATCCACACCTGAAGTTCCGAGGTGTTTGTTTTCACGCCAGGGCGTTGGCGTCAGAAGGATCCGTGTATTGCGCCCTGGGGTTATACCCTCCGGGCATGGTCATTTTCACCCGAAACTTGTCCAATTTCCTGTAAGGGGTCGCCCAACTTTAGATTTCAACGAAGACTTTGATAATTCCATTTGTGGCTGTGGCAGTTCCTACATGCGTGTGAGTTTGTTTGAAGGTAACTGAGCAGGTTGGTCTGAAGGGAGCCCACGAGGAAAGCCATCCATTCTGGGGGTCCCCTATTTTGACAGATAATGTTGGCCCCAGATTAATCAACCCCAGCTTAGTAATATGGGGGTGTTCCCCTCCAAAAGTGATGAATCTCCACCAAAGCCAGGGACACCCCCCCTCTTGATAAACAGGTGTTGATTAGTATGGGGTCAAAAATGCCAACATGGGCCCCGTCCGATGCAGCCGTTGAGTCCAATACGCG